CTATCCCCACCCTTAGCTGTGTGTATCTCCTGATGCCTTCCTTCCCTAGCAGCATTATCGTGCTTAAGTCTCCTCCATCTTAAAAAAAATTCTCTCAGCCCTGGCCGGGTGGCTCAGTTTATTAGAATATCATCCCATACACCAAAAGGTTGCAGGATCAGTCAGGGCACATACCTAGGCTGCCGGTTCAACCCTCCATCAGGGCATATATGGGAAGCAACCAATCGATGTTACTCTCTCTCTCTCTCTCACTCTCTTCCTCTCACTAAACATATTCTCGGATGAGAATTAAAAAACAAATCTCGGGAGAAACCAAGATGGCAGCATAGGTTAACGTCGGAGTTTGCTGCCTCTAACAACCACTTCAAAAATACAACTAAAAGACGGAACGGACATCATCCAGAACCACAGGAAGGCTGGCTGAGTGGAAGTTCTACAACTAGGAGGAACCGAGAATCAGAGGAGGCGCAGTGCTGAAGTAAAATACTAAGGTGCGGAGTGGGCGCGGCGCGGGCTGGTGGCTGAGGGCGCGGTTGTCTGTTTCAATCCGGAGGGAGCCTCAGACTCAGAGCTCCAGATCCGGGCGAGTCTCTAGGGACCCAGACTCAAACGGGAGAAGCAGGACTGTCTGGCTACGGTCCCTCCGAGGTTTGCAGCTGTTGCTGGGACAGAGAGGCAGAGCCCCTGGGGATGGACTGAGAGCAGCCATAACTGCTTCCTCCTCCGTTCTGTTGATCCCGTGGGACCCGCCCCGCCCAAGCCCTGCACAGAGCCATTTGCCAGATAGCCTCAGGCAAAGGCTAGATTAGCACAGCCAGTCGGCCTGGAGGTCAAATCCCTCTAGTATTAACTATAACAATCAAGGCTTAACTACAACAAGACTGCGCAAAAAGACCACTAGGGGGTGTACCAAGAAAGCGTAAAAAATGCGGAGACAAAGAAACAGGACAAAACTATCAAAAGAGGATATTGAGTTCAGAACCACACTTTTGAGGTCTCTCAAGAGGCTTCTAGAGTCTGTCGATAAACTTGATGAGTTGTACAGGAAATCTAATGAGACCCTTGATGGTGTGATAAAGGACCATCTAGAAAGTAAGCATACACTGACTGAAATAAAGAATATTATACAGACTCCCAACAGCAGACCAGAGGATCGCAAGAATCAAGTCAAAGATTTGAAATGCGAAGAAGCGAGAAACACCCAACCGGAAAAGCAAAATGAAAAAAGAATCCGAAAGTGTGAAGATAGTGTAAGGAGCCTCTGGGACAGCTTCAAGCGGACTAATATCAGAATTATTGGGGTGCCAGAAGATGAGAGACAGCAAGATATTGAAAACCTATTTGAAGAAATAATGGCAGAAAACTTCCCCCAC